TTCAGAGCTTTTTATTTATTTTTTTGCAGTACTGAGAATTGAACCCAGAGATACTCTATCACTGAGCTATAACCCCTGCCTTCTTTTTTTTTTTTGTAGTGCTGGGGATTGACCCAGGGCCTGTGCAATCTACCAACTGAGCTATGTCCCAAGCCACTCCCCAACCCCCATCCCCGCCCTCGCCCTCTTATTTTGAGAGAGGGTCTTGCTAAATTGTTGAGGCTGGCTCCAAACTTTCAATTCTCCTGCTTCACCCAGCCTTCTACATAGCTGGGATTACAGTTATGGTCTACTGTGCCTGGCTCAGAGCTTTTCTGTTGTAATCAAGTTAGGTTTTTAATGAGAGAATCATCCAATTTTGAAACAGTGGAAGCCTATTAGGCTGCTAGTTCTTTCTTTTTGTTTTTTAATGTTTATTTTTTAGTTGTAGTTGGACACAATACCTTTATTTATTTATTTTTATGTGGTGCTGAGAATTGAACCCCCATGCGTGCTAGGCGAGCGCTCTACCACTGAGCCACAACTCTAGCCCTAGGCTGCTAATTATTTCTAATGTTAGATTAATTTTTAACCCTTGCTGGGCCTCAAACCAATGATTATCAATATTTCAGGTGAAGTAAAAATTTGTAATTGTCTATGAATTTTTATTTATGTACTTATGCCATTAAATATAAGAAAAAAATGGAGGATACACTCTGCTGCTCTACCATTTTTCCTCTGTTCCTATGGGTATTTTTTCTTTTCTTTTTTTTAATTAGTAAATGTTAGACATTATTACCTTTATTGTTTTTATTAAGGCAATGTTTTGGTTTGATCCAAAATTCTTTTAGGTTAATGTTCTCCCTAGTTTCTGGAGAATTGCATTAGGCTAGTTCTGATGTAGTAGATTCAATGGTGGGGCAAAAATTCTAGATTTCTAACATGCTTTCAGGTGTTCTTATCATGTGGCTCCAAAGATCACAATTTGGGAAGCAGGTCAATTAGGTGTTCTCATAAAGTTKTTTTTGTTTTTTGTTTTTTTTTTTAAAGAAGGAACTTTTCATTTTCCAGTTGTAATTTGTTTGAAAGTGCCTTGACTGAAATCATTGAAATATATTTGATTCCCTGTCCTACAAACTATGGAGTTAATGGTTATGCAGCCACTTAAAAGGGAGGACTTAATCATTGGAGTTGTTGGTGTGGGAAGAGTTTCCTACTTATTAGCTTACATTGTTCTATATTTAGAAAATGTGGATATAATTTTTAAAATGTGCATAACAGGTAATAGATATATGTTTTCCTATTTTCAGGTTTGGTCTGAGATTGGAAAAGGCTTTCTAGATGGGTCACTTGATAAAAGTGCAACTCGGAAAAAACAATATGAAGATGGTAAGTTTGGTCATTTTTCATTTTTAATAAGGACAAAAAGATATGTGCCCCAGTTTTACTAAGGTTATCTCTGAATGGTGAGCTAACAAGTCATATACATTTTTTTCACTTTATGCTTTTTTTCCCTGTGTTTTCTATAATACAAGATTTTTGTTTGGTTTGGTTTCTGTTTTTTTAACAAAAGAGAAGAAAAAGTAGGAAGTAAAAAGAGAACTCTAGTACTCATTGCAAAATGAGTACACTCTACTAGATTCATGAAAAATATGAGTATAATCCTAAGAAGGCAGTTTGACAGTACATATTAGAGTCATAAATAATGGATAAAATATCTAGAAAAAAGAAAATATTCATGAATATTTTTATGTTTGTAGTRTTGGGGATCAAACCTAGGACCTAGAACATACTAGTCAAGTGCTCTATCCCTAGGCTTTACCCCTGTTCCTTATTTTTTGTAATACTATTTCTTTTTTTTTTTTTTAATAATTTTTAATTGTCAATGGACTTTATTTTACGTATTTATATGTGGGGCTGAGAATCTAACCCAGTGCCTCGCATATGATAGGCAGGTGCTCTGCCACTGAGCCACTGCTCTAGCACCTGTAATACTATTTCTGTAACTAGAAAATTGAAAATAAACTTAAGTGTCCAACATTATAGGAATTGCTAAGAAAATAATGTCAATATGATTAATATATAGCTATTTGTAAGAAACAACAAAAAAATAGCAACAAAAAATTCTTGCCATTATAACACTGAGTAAAAATTTTCAAAATTGTTTGTCATTTATTACGACTTTATAATATTTACACTGAAAAATAGCAACTTTAGTTTAAGATAGCTTCCCCAATTTATTTTATCTTGGTCTTTTGTTGTTGTTGTTCTGTATTTTCTGTCAATGGTTGATTGGTTTTAATATTTTAATATTTTTATTCTGAYCTGCTTCTATTCCTTTTCTTGGAAGCAGGCAGGGTAAATTCAAATGCATAGTCTTGCTGAGCCTAGTGGCTTGTGTCTGTAGTCCCAGCTACTGGGGAGGCTGAGGTGGGAGGATTGCTTGAGCCCAGGAGTTGAGGCTTACCTGGCCGACACATAAGACCCTGTCTTAGGCTGGGGATATAGCTTAGTTGGTAGAGTACTTGCCTAGCATGCACAAGACCCTGGGTTCAATCCCTAGCATMGCCAAAAGAAAAAACAAAAAAACAACAACAAAAAGAACCTTGCTCTCTTTCCATAATAAGACCCTCTCTCAAAAACAAACAAAAATATGGGCTGCATTAGAATAATGGTTATTTTCATGTATTTTTTTTAGATGAACACATTATTTTTATTTTATTTATTTATTTTTATGTGGTGCTGAGGATCGAACCCAGTGCCTCACGCACGTGAGTCAAGCACTCCACCACTGAGCTACAACCCCAGCCCTCTTTTCATTCTTTTAACAAATTTTTACTGTGGTTTACTATGTGCTAGGCCCTATTCTAGGCACAGGAGACAAAATCCCTGTCCTCATTAGCTTGCTATTCTAGTGATTACCTTGATGTCTAACAGAAATTTTTTTTTTTTTTAAAGAGAGAGTGAGAGAGGAGAGAGAGAGAGAGAGAGAGAGAGAATTTTTTTAATATTTATTTTTTAGTTCTCGGCGGACACAACATCTTTGTTGGTATGTGGTGCTGAGGATCGAACCCGGGTCGCACGCATGCCAGGCGAGCGCGCTACCGCTTGAGCCACATCCCCAGCCCCAACAGAAATTTTTTTGAAAAGTCTTTTAATGGACACAATTTGGTTTTCATTACCATTCTGTTTATCTTTATGGATGCATTTGGATTAAGTACCCTTGATTAAAAAAAAAAAAAAAAAAGTATTTCAGAGATATTGGTTAAATTCACGTAAGAGGAAAATTTAATGTATTTCTTATTCCAAATAAAAATAGATTGTCTGCATATGTTCCTTGGCCTATCACATGGGCATAAATCAAATTTGAGCTTTTATTGAAAATAATTATGTTTCAGTACCTATCAGTGGAATCCCCATGAGTAGAGCAAAGCTTCCTTTGTTCAACTAATTCCTAACTTGCCCTGCTGTCATGTGGGATCTCTAACCTAGGAAAAAGATTTGACTTCCRGCAGGTGAAAGAAGATGCAAGACACAGGTAGGATAGTAGACATGGTTTATTCAGCCTCCAGTTTCAGCTTTAGCACCCAGACAGGTCTAATTTGCCTCTATTTAGCCCTGGAGTCTTTTCCATAGGCCTTTTTTATATGTAGGCCAAACAAAGAAGGCCCATTGCCAACAGATTACATAAGGGAGCTCATGCTCACAAGTCAGTGTTTATGATCTTGAGTATATATACTGAATCAAAGTGTTTCTGGCTGTGACTAACCTATAACATAGCAGGTTCTCAACCCTGGCTACACATTTAAAACATAACATAACATAATCTGCAGGAAATCTCAGCAAGGGAGCCCAACTACAGCCATTTTAGGCCTGCCCTAACACCTGCACATTAGAATCCCTTGGGGAACTTAAAACAAAACTTGATGATCAGGCCCTTTCTTAGGACTAATTTCTCCAAAGCCCTGGAAATCAGTCAGATTATTTTGGAAGTACTCTCCAAATTATTCTAATGTACTTATAGTACTGAGAGTGTATAACAGTAATTCCCAAATATTGCTACACACTGAATTTTTAAAATATATATTGAAGCCTTCCCTCTACCTGCAAGCATTCAGATTTACTTGGTATAATGTGTAACTTGTGAATTACTATTTTTTAAAAAAGCTTCCCACGTGATTCTAATGTGTGACAAAGTTTGGGTACTACCGCTGCTTTATGCTCATTTTCACCACCGATGTATCAAATTCATTCAGTTTTATAAATACTTAGTGAAATTTTGTAATATTCTGACATGTTTTAGGTGCAGGGAAATGTCAGTAAACATAAAAAATCATGCCCTTGTGGCTCCACATTCTAGTGGGAAGAGACAGACAAGGGTCTAAAGTAAATTGAATAGAGTGTTAAAAAGTGAAAAATGCTGTAGAGAAAAATAAAACTGTCAGGAGGTAGAGAGGTTACAATTTTAAGTAAGTATCAGGACAGGCCTCACCAAGATGAGATTATTTTTGAGCAAATAGTTGCATATTGTGTGAATGCTCGGATGTCTAAAGGAAGATTATTTTGTGTAAAGGAAATACAATTGCAAATTCTTTGAGATGGGACTCTTCCTGGTATATTTGAAGCCAGTATGGCTAATGTGAAGTGGTTGCAAAAGGAGCAGAAGTAGGTGAGCTCAGAAGACTGGAGAGAGGAACAGAATRTGTGTGGCTTATAGGCCATTATATGAGTAGGTTGTTACTGTGTGATAGGATGCCAGTGGATGGCTTTAGCAGAATTATGATCTGAGTTATATTTTAGTAAAGCATCAGCCTGGCTCTTGTGATGGACTACAGGAGCCCAGAGCAGAAGTGGGGAGACTAATTACAGGGCTATTGCAGAGAAGCAGGCAAGAGAGATGATGTGACTAGGACCAGGTGGCAGACAACGGAAAATAAAGAACAACAAAATAGCAAGAAAAAATTAATTACGTATTTTGAGAAAATAACCACCAACATTGATTGACAGGTTAAATGTGGAGTAAAGGGAGGGAGAAAATAAGATGTTAGGCCTGATTAATTGGAAAATGAGGTTATATTAGTAAAGAATAGGATGAGGAAGACTGCGGAAAGATACAGGTTTTGTTGGAATTGTCAAAAGTTCAGCCTGTTGGTTTTTATTAATATGCTTCAGACCTCCCATTAAAGATGTTAAATTTGTTTTTAAATCTGAGTCTGGAGCTTTGGGGAAAAATGTCTGGATGAAAAGCAAAAATATGGAAGTGTTCAGTAATTAGATTTAAAGCCTTAAGACTAGAGCTCACTTCTTGACTTGGGTGAAAATGATGTGGGTGTTTGTATTTATTCCTTAGACTGTACTTATATGTTTTTATGTACTTTTGGGAATGCATCTTAAATTGAACAAAAAGAAGGGGAAAAGAAGTAGACAACTTTCAACATAAATTATCTTTTAAAATTGTTGTTTACTACCTTTGAAGGTTTTATTCTGCATGTGGGAACATTGTGCAGAATTAATTTTCAAAACTTGAATCCTGCCTGGTATGGTAGCGCACGCCTGTAATCCCAGCAGTTTAGGAGGCTGAGGCAGGAGGATTGTGAGTTCAAAGCCAGGCTCAGCACCTTAGCAAGGCTCTAAAGAACTCAGTGAGGCCCTGTCTCAAAATACAAAAAAGTTCTGAGGATGTGGCTCAGTGCTTAAGCACCCCTGGGTTCAGTTCCTGGTACAAAAAAAAAAAAAAAAAAAAAAGTTGAATCCCCACAACTGCTTGTATTCTAAATGTTCTTTGTGTTTCTTCTCTAAGCCCTCATGCAATTGGAATCTGTTTTAAAGAAAATCATAAAAGAACGAAAAGGAAGGAACTTCAGTCAACATATTTTCATTGACTCCTTAGTACAGGGAAACCTTAACGACCAACAGGTGATGTAATTGTTAAATGTTTACCAAATAAAAATTGTTAAATATTTATCAAATTCACTGTAATCCAGATGCCCTCCTGGAAACTCAGTGGCTTCTCTCTTATTACACATCATAAATGGCCTAAGTATTCAATCTCATTATTTAGCTCTTTGAAGAAGCGGTATATTATTTAATATTTGGGTAAGTTAGGGGCTGGGGATGTAGCTCAGTTGGTAGAGTGCTTGCTTTACATGCACAAGGTTCTTGGTTCAATCCCCAGCATCACCAAAAAAAAAAAAAAAAAAAAAAATGGGCAAGCAAATATTGAGTTAAAATTCTGTAATGATAACAGAGGAGGACTTATGTAGCCCTCATAGACTGAGTCCCTCTGTCGATATGACCAGGTGTGGCAGCTGGGCTTGTTCACTGTGCTCAACTATTACTGTTAGCACACCACTGCATTTATGGTATGTCAGGCAAAGGACAGGAATGTCATCATCGCCACATTCATTCCTCTTTGGAATCTTCTTCCATTTGGCACATGGAAGTCCTGGTTGCCAGAATGATTTTCTAGCTACATCCCCAGCCCTTTTGGTGCAGAAATTGAGTCAGGTTCTGAGCGCCATGTCAGCTCTTTTCTATTCTTTCTCTATTTGGTGCCTCAGGCCAAGCCATAAAAATAGAACTGAACCAGTTTTCAAGGTATAACATAAGCCAGTAATATTACCAACAGAAAAATGCGTATTTTATTGCATCAAAAACATAGTGCAGTATTTAGGTTAGTTTTCACATTATACAGATTTTGTTTTTATTAAAGCATGGTAATAAGATAATATACTTTTTAAAAAATTTTTGTTGACCCTGCTTATATATTCTAGATTATGTGAATAGGGTCTAAAACAGGCCAACTGACATTTCATACCTTTCTTTTTTTTTATTTTTATTTTTATTTTTTGTAATTGTATATAGACAGAATGCCTTTATTTTATTTGCTTATTTTTATGCTGTAAGGATGGAACCCAGTGCCTCACACRTGCTAGGCAAATGCTCTGCCATTGAGCTACAGCCCCAGCCCACGTTTCATACTTTCTAAACTTAATTTTGTGTCCTAGGTCCTAGAAGACAGTATGATATTTTCTCTGGCTGGTTGCATAATAACTGCGAAATGTAAGTATAAATTGATGTCTTTTTCAGATGGATTACAAAGTACACAAGGCTACAGCTGTTCTAAAATAAACACTGTTTGCAAGACCKCTTCATAATTTCCTTCCCTGCTTATTATTCTTGTTTAAAGGCTTGATTCACACAGGTTCCCCCTACTTTTTTTTACCTGAAGTGCTCAATGCCACCTCTGGAAATTGCTATAAATTTCTTGACACATTTTATGGATTGTGAATTCTAGTTAGTGCCTTTAAAATGAACTGCTATTGACACCTTTCCAGCTGAACAGTGAGCTTTTCCATTTCCTGCTGCTGCTTTTCACTGACTTCAAGCCAGTCTGCTGTTATTAAGGTCTCCAACAGAGGATGTAGGCCACAGAAATCATGATGTAAAAGAATTCCTCTCTTGGTGGAATTGAAGGTGATTTTTATTTAAAATTCTAAAATGGATGCTTTAAGTTTCCTTGCTGGTTTTTAGATTAATGGRGTACTGTTCATTTGTACTGTATTTATAAAAAGTGTTTATAGACATAAAATATATATAAGATAAATGCTTATAGGAGGTAAGGTAGCAGTTTAAAATCTAGAAAATTTATTTTCACTGGAAGGATTTCATTTATAGCTCYTTCTGTGTAGGGAAGTTTTCTATAAAATGATGAGTATATATGTAAACTTCCCATGATTGTTTTGTCCAGATATTATAAATTAAATGAAATATATGCAAGCATGTGTTAAGAATAATGTATTTATCTTCTTAAATAATCCTCACTTATTTCAAAAATGTTATTACATTAAAAATATTTCTTTGAAGGGGCTGGAAGTGTAGCTCAGTGGTAGAGTGCTTGCCTAGCTGGCATGAAAACTTCAGAAAATCTGAATCAGTGGTTTTCTGGTTACCACAAAAAGGGACTGTTTCCAGATTGAATTGATCTTAATCTGATTTTCAGTTTTTAGGGAGTTTTCAAGAGTATTTGTTTGCTACCACTGAGCTACATCCCCAGCCCTATTTATTTATTTATTTATTTGGTACAGGGATTGAACCCAGGGACACTTAACCACTGAGCTACATCCCCAGCCCTTTTTGTATTTTATTTAGAGATGGGGTCTTGTTGAGTTTCTGAAGCTGGCTTTGAACTTGTGATCCTCCTGCCTCAGCCTCCTGAGCCTTTTTATTGTATTTTGTGAAAAGGTCTTGTTAAGTTACCCAAGCTGGCCTTGAACTTGCCATCCTCCTGTCTCAGCCTTCTGAGTCACTGGAATTACAGGCATGTGCCATTGGGCCCAATTTCTGGTTCAGTTTATATTTAAAGAACATTAGATGTCTTCATGGCCTTGTAAATACAGGAACTATACCTGCAGCCCGTCATACTTTGTAATTGAGTTCTACAAGAAAAGCCAATGTTTGATTCTGGTGGGACTGAAAATTGGTGCAACCAATCTGTAAAGCAGTATGGAGATTACTAAGAAAACTTAGAATGGAACCATCATTGACCCAGCTATCCCGCTCCTCAGTCTATACCCAAAGGACTTAAAATTAGAATACTATAGTGACACAGCCACATCAATGTTCATAGCAGCTCAATTCACAATAGCCAAACTGTGGAAGCAACCTAGATGCTCTTCAATAGATAAATGGTTAAAGACACTGTGGAATGTTACTCAGCAATAAAAGAGAATAAAATTATGACATTTGCAGGTAAATGGATGGAGTTGGAGAATATCATGCTAAGTGAAGTAAGCCAATCTCCAAAACCAAAGGCCGAATGTTCTCTCTGATAAGTGGATGCTGRTCCATAATGGGGAGGATGGGAAGAATGGAGGAACTTTGATTGGGCAAAGGGGAGGAAGTAGTGGGGTGTGCATGGGGGCAGGAAAGATGTGGAATGAGATGAACATTATTACCCTAGGTACATGTATGACAGCACATATGGTCCGATGCTACATCTTGTACAACCAGAGAAATGAAGAGTTGTGCTGCATTTGTGTACAGTGAATCAAAATGCATTCTGCTGTCATATATTCCTAATTAAAATAAATTAATTAATTTTTTTAAAAAGTCAGTATTTAAGATTATTAAGCTTATCTGGTTATATTAATTGTAAGTGATAATAGAGGCAGGCAGAGCATATGAGTGCTATTTTATGCAAATCTTTGTGCTAATTCCTTCAGTTGTAAAATTGTACTATATATACACATGGTGCACTGCACAAGTTTTTACACCACTTGTGAAACAGAAATTCTGTAGTTCACTCAAAAGCCAAAATGAAGAAACACATGTAGGGAAAAGTTAAAGACAGGTAGTAGTAACTCATGAATAATTGAGTGCCAGGTAGCTCACTATTTTAGTGTGAACAATATGGGTAATTGGTGATTCAGACAAAAACAAATTTTTTAAATTAACTTTAGGGCTGGGGCTGTAGTTCAGTGATAGAGTGTTTGTGCAACATGTATGAGGCTCTGGGTTTCATTCCCACCACTGCAAAAATAAAAATAAAAAAAATAGAAAATTAGCTTTGAGTCAGTCTTTACTCCAAGAAGCAGATGATTGGTAAGTAGAGGTAAAAGTTACTATAGCAGAGCTGGGGTTGTGGCTCAGCYGTAGAGTGCTCGCCTAGCATGTGTGAGGCCCTGGGTTCAATCCTCAGCACCATGTAAAAATAAATAAGTGAAAGTGAAATAGAGATATTGTGCCCAACTCCAACTAAAAAGTAAATATTTTTTTAAAAGTTACTATAGCATTCAAAAAGTATCTGACTTAGAAAAAGTAGAGTTACACATAGTGTCAGCTTGTATATCACAGGATGGTTTCATTCTTTAATTCTAATCCCAGTCGATTCCTAAAGGAATATAACTACTCTATTTCCTTTGTTTTTTGTTCTAAATGTAACTTTCTTACATTTCCACTTTCTCAGTGAATATTATAATGCATAAACCAGTTTAAAGCAAAAACAAGCCATGAGCCAGCAATTTTCCAATTTAGGTGTTCATCAAAGTAACTATTTGTAATCCTGCTTCTGGGGAGGCCAAGCCAGGAGGATTGCAAATTCAGGGCAAGTCTTGGCAATTTAGTGAGAACTTGTCTTGAAATAAAAGGCAGTCTTAGAGCCAGGTGCAGTAATGCAGGCCTGTAATCCCAATGCCTTAGGAGGCTGAGACAGGAGGATCTCAAGTTCAAAGCCAACCTCAGCAATTTAGCAAGTTGCTAAGCAACTCAGCAAGACCCCATCTCTAAATAACAGACAAAAAAAAAAAAATGCTGGGGGTTTGGCTCAGTGGTTAAGTGTAGGTTGGTTCCACAGTCTAGCTGTGGGTCAATACCCAGACCAATACCCAGTACCAAAAAAAAAGGCAATCTCAGTGGTAGAGCATCTGCCTAGCATGTGTGAGGCTCTGGGTTTAATCCCCAATACCACAAACATAAGAAAAGAGATATAACTGTCATACTTGTTAAAAGTATGGATGTATGGACCTCACCCCAGACCTACTGAATTAGCATCTGTACTTGTGAAATTGTGGCATCAACCAACTGCCAGGTGATTTTCGAGAACGATTGTCCTAAGCAATAATCAGTCACAGTTCTTGGAGCCAGTATATTTACCATTACAAGCAAAAAAAAAAAAAAAAAAAATAGGATTTTTTTTTTTTTTAAATCTAAACTGAATATAACATTTTTTTTTTTTTTTGATCACTTTCTCCTCAGGAACATCTCATGTTACTTTGGAGAGATCTGTGACCATTTGGATTTTTTGCCTTATTTTTTTTAAAGAGAGAGAGAGAGAGAGAGAGAGAGATTTTTTTTTTTAATATTTATTTTTTAGTTTTCGGCGGACACAACATCTTTGTTTGTATGTGGTGCTGAGGATCGAACCCGGGCCKCATGCATGCCAGGCGAGTGCCCTACCGCTTGAGCCACATCCCCAGCCCCAAAATAGGATATTGATATTCAGACAAATATCCTGCTAGTTTGATATATGTGGGTCATTCATTCATCAGTGAATGAACTGATAAGTCAACTTTTAAATTTTACAAGGTCAAGTGAACAATATCATTCCTCACAGTTACCAACATTTTACCTAAGGTAAAATGCATTCAATGACTTGTTACTGGCACTACCTGTTTTTGGCAACCTCTATAAATATTCATGTTCTRTTTAATGAAATACAAATTCTGTCAAGAATTTTATTTTTTGGTAACACTTAATGTATCATCTGTATCAGAGGAGGGAAAAATGAAATTTAAAAAATCCCAAACCACTAGTTTTTTCTTGTTATATGCCCCAAATATGAATTAACTGTTTTCATTGTTATAATTTTTTACTTAGTGTGCACCTGGGCAATCTGTTTTTTAACAACTTCTGAAGAAGTTCAAAGAAAACTACATGAAGAGGTAGACCAAGTATTTGGGAAGGATCCTATTACTCCAGAGAAAATTGAGCATCTCAGGTAAGAACTAAAAAGGAAGAAGAGATCATTAAAAAGCAAATTTGAATTAGTTTATCTAATTTAAAGCTAATGTTAATATCTAGAAAACCTGTATAATTTTATAGGATTTCAAACATTTACATATAGATTTGAATGGATAATTTAATCTCTTGTTTTAAATAATAAAGTAGTTCTGGGAAACCTTTAATGAGCCTGTATAAAATATTACTGTTAGGCAGTTGGGACATCCATGTTTCTTAGTGGTAATACAAAATGGTACAGCTAGTTGGGAAATAGTGTGGTAGGATTTTATTAAGTATACACTTTCCATATGAGTCAATAATCACTTGTAGGTAATTAGTCAAGAGAAATGGAAACATGTTCATGTAAGGACCAGTATTACAAATGTTCATAGCAAAATATTCCAAATAGCTCAAAAGTGGAATCATTTCAGTTTTTAACCAGCTGTTAAATAGATAAGCAAATTTTGATATAACCATAACATGAAACACTACAAAATAATAAAAGAAATACAGTGTCAATGTACACAGCAAAATGGGTGAATATCATTATGATAAGTAAAAGAAGTAAAACCAAAGACTTTCTACTGTTAGTGCAGTGGCACACACCTATAATTCCAGCAATGTGGGAGGCTGAGGCAGGAGGATCACAAGTTTGAAGCCAGCCTTAGCAACTTAGCCAGACCCTGTCTCAAAGTGAAAAATAAAAAGACTGGGGATGCAGTTCAGTGGTAAAGTATCCCTACCATCCCCAGTACTGAGAGGAAAAAAAGAAAGAAAAGACTGCCTGTGGTATGATTTTATTTACATGAAATTCTAGAAAAGACAAAAGTATAGTGATAGAAAGCCTTGAATATTGCTTCTCTTGGGCTGGGGATGTGGCTCAAGCGGTAGCGCGATCGCCTGGCATGCTTGCGGCCTGGGTTGGATCCTCAGCACCACATACAAACAAAGATGTTGTGTCCGCCGAGAACTAAAAAAAATGAATATTAAAATTCTCTCTCTCTCTCTCTCTCTCTCTCTCTAAAAAAAAAAAAAAAAAGAAAAGAATATTGCTTCTCTCCAATTCATTCTCCGAAGTGCTGCTGGAACCTGTGGCTGCACACTGCAGTCACGTAGGCCCTTTTAAAAATAAAGATATGTGGGATCACACCTGTAATCCCAGCTGTTTGGGAGGCTGAGGCAGGAGAATCACAGGGGGCCACCATTGGGGTGCAGTGCTCTTCTCTCCTGGCATTGTGCGTAGACTATTTCTGTGTGTAGATTCTTTCTTTTCCTCTCTCCTTTAGCTAACTTCTAAAATTTTTTTTTTGCAGGTCTTAAACTAAGTTTTTTTTTTCTCTGCAGAGCCCTTTTCCTCAATTAGGTATTCTTGCTATGTGTTCTCATAATACCCTGAACTTCCTTTACCATAGCGTATATATCCCCTGCACTCTCTGTCCCTCTGCCAATAAGATTCTGACATCCTTGGGCATTATCTCGATTGTTCATGTTGTATCTCATTATCTAGCACAGTCTTCAAATGTGAGTAGGTCCCCAATAAATATTTGTTCAAAAAAGAAAGGGAAAAGTGATATTTCCTACTGTTGTTTCTTTTTTTATATTAGAAATGTTACTATGCATAGTTACAACATTCCTATGCTTACTTCTTTTGTTAGTATTTCTACTTCTTTCTGTATAGTAAGTGCCTAGAAGTTTACGGAGATTTTACAACAGCACAGTGGTTAAGATTAGGAGCTATCGAGTAAGACAGATGTGTTTGAATCCTGTCTGTATGAACTTAACAGTTGCTTCTAATTTAAATCTGTACATTCAGAATAATAAGAATTTCCATAGGATTTTTGTAAGGGTTAGGTGAGATCCTATGTATAAAATATTTAAGTGATCTGGGCATGATAGATTAGTGGTTCAGCAACCCCGTGTTAAATCCCTGGTACCAAAAAAAAAAAAACTTAAGTGAATTGACTTATGGCAAGATTGTAGTACATTTTAGCTTTATTTTTTTCTCATTAGGATATTACAATATTTTGATATATTGTCAAATTATGCATTAGAAAGGTCATACCAATTTGTACTTCCACCAACTGAGTATGAGATGTCTTTTTCTCCACTTTTCATTAGTAATGCCTGTTGTCATTCTTTTTAATCTTTGCCAATTTTGCAAGTGAACAAAACTCCTTTGATTGGTTGAGTATCATTTCATTTATCTTCAGGCCATTTGTATTTTTTTGTGAATTTTTTAGTACCAGGGATTGAACCTAAGGGTATTTGACCACTGAGCTACATYCCCAGCCCTTTTTTAAAAATTTTTAAATTTTGAGACAGGGTCTCACTAAGTTGCCTAGAGCCTCACTGAGTTGCTGAGGCTGGCTTCAAACCTGCGATCCTCCTACCTTGTCCTGTTGAGCCACTGGGATTACAGGCATGTGCCACCACACCCAGCTACAGTGTATTTTGTTTGTTTTATRTATATATATTTGCAGATGGACACAATACCTTTTTTTWAATTTTTATGTGGTGCTAAGAATTGAACCCAGCACCTCTCCTGTGTGCTCTATCACTGAGCTACAACTCTAGCCCTAGATGTGGTTTCATTTAAATTTTTATTCTTCTTGAATTTATGTACCTATCTCTAAACAAGTAAAAATTATGATGAGATTATTTCAAATTAGGAAGGTTTGAAAAGTGGTGGAATGACGTTAAAATGTATGGAAATTTTAAATTGCTACTCCCAAAATAAACATGTTCAAAATTGTCTTAAATTTTTTATTAAATTTATTTTTAACTGGTATATGAAAATGTAAAAATCATGTTGATTTGTTGATATTAATGGGGTGCTGTAAAGTTTTGATACATGAATGTATTATATAATGTTTAAATCAGATTAAGCATATCTTTAATTCATTTTGACTTGATTTTTGTTACTGGTGAGAGATAGGGGTTTGGTTTCATTCTTTTGCATGAGGATATTCAGTATTCCTGGCACCATTTATTAAAAAGACTATGCTTTCTTCAGTGCAAGGATTTACTTCTAGGCTCTCTATTCTGTTCCTTGATCCATGTGTATTTTTATGCCAACACCATGATATTTTGATTACTGTTGCTCTGTAGTACATTTTGAAGTCAAATAGTATAATGCCTCCTGCTTTGTTCTCTGCTCTTTTTTTTAAGGTTCCTGTTTTGTTTTGTTTTTTAATATTTTACTAGTTGTTGATGGACCTTTATTTATTTATATGTGGTGCTGAGGATCGAACCCTGTGCCTCACACATGCTAGGCAAGCACTCTACCACTGAGCTACAACCCCAGCCCCTTTGTTCTTTTTTTGCTCAAGATGGCTTTGGCTATTTGAGGTTCCCTACAAATAAGGATTATTTTTTTCTAGTTCTTTGAAGAAGGCCATTGTCTTTTGACAGAGATTACATTGACTATTTAGATCTCTTTGGGTAATATGGACATTTAATAATATTGAGTTTCTGACCCACAAATACAGTATATCTTTCCATTTTTTGTGTGTGTACTTTTCAATCATTTCATCAATGTTCTACAATTTTCACTCTAGAGACCTTTTGGTAGAATTTATTTCTACATTTTATCATTTCTTTTTTTCTTTTTTTGGTAGCTATTGTAAATGGGATAGCTTTCTTGGTTTCTGTTTCAGATCATTAGCTATTAGTATATAGCAACCCTATTTATTTTTGCATATTGATTCTTGTATCCTGCAACTTTGCTGAATTTGTTCTAATAGGCGTGTGTGTGTGTGTGTGTGTGTGTGTGTGTGTGTGTGTGTGTGTAATTTGGGGTTTTCTGTATATATGATCACATCATCTGCAAAGAGTGACAATGTGATTCCTCTTTTCCAGTTTTTTTTTGTTTGTTTGTTTTGTTTTGGTACCGAGGATTGAACTCAGGGGCACTCAACCACTTAGCCACATCCCCAGCCCCATTTTGTATCTTATGTAGAGACAGGGTCTCATGAGTAGCTTTTTCAGAGTCTGGCTTTGAACTCTCAATCCTCCTCCCTCAGCCTCCCAAGCCTCTGGGATTTCAGGCGTGCACCACCATGCCCTGCTTCTTTTCAAATTTTGATGCCTTTTATTTCTTCTTTCGCCTGCTTGCTCTGGCTGGGACTTTCAGTACTGTCTTTAATAAAAGTGGTAAAAGTGGATATCCTTGTTCCAGATCTCAGAAAGCTTTCAGCTTTTCCCCCAAGTAAAGTTAACTGTTGGCTTGTTATATATGGCCTTTATTTGTTAAGGTACATTCTTTCCATGCTTAATTTGTGCAATGTTTTTACAAAAAGCAATGTTGAATTTCTTTTGTCTTTTTTTTTTTTTTTTTTAATTTTGAGATAATGTCTTGCTGAGTTGCTGAGGCTAATCTTGAACTTGCTATCCTCCTGCCTCAACCTCCCAAGTCTCTGGGATTACAGTTGAAAGCCACTGTGCCTAGTGGGATATTGAATCTTATCAAATGCTTTCTCTGCCTCTATAGAGAGATGATTTTTGATCTTCATTCTGTTAATGTGGCATATCATGTTTACTGACTTCAGTAATATGTTTAAATTTTTTTTTAAACAGATATTGTCGGCAAGTGCTTTGTGAAACTGTTAGGACTGCCAAATTGACCCCAGTTTCTGCCCGGCTTCAAGATATTGAAGGAAAAATTAACCAATTTATTATTCCTAAAGAGGTAGGAAACTTTGGATATGTTCAACTCATTTAATTACTTAAATTTTTTTTKTGTGTAAAGTGCCCGATAAATACTACCCATTATTAAATGAAAGATAATTATTTTACTTCATTTTATTTTGTTTTTTTGGTACTGGAGCTTGAACCCAGAGACACTTAAACACGGAGCTATATCCCCAGCCCTTTCTTTATTTTTTATTTTGAGACAGGTTCTCACTAAGTTGCTTAGGGGCTGACAAATTGTTGAGGCTAATCTCAAACATATCATCCTCCTGCCTCAGCCTCCTCAGTCTCTGGGATTACATGTATTTGGCACCATGCCCGGTTCCTGTTATCTTTTATATTACTTATGGTGTTTTGTTGTTGTTGCTGTTTTTAACTGAATGCAGGTTTTAAATTTTCATATAGTTAGTCTGTTATTCCTACCTGCCTTTCAGATTTTGTGACATTTAGTAGGCCCACTCCATCACCAAAATAATGAAGTGTTTTCTTCTGTTATTATATACTTTTATTTTGTTTCATTATCTGTATTAAAAGATCTTTAGGATGAACTGACTTTCTGGGAGTCATTTTGTCTCTGTTAGGCCTTGATTAACTAGATTGATTTTTTTTTTCAGACTCTTGTTCTTTATGCCCTTGGTGTGGTACTTCAGGATCCTAATACTTGGCCATCACCACACAAGTATGAAATTTCTGTTTATTGTCTTTGTGATTTTCTATTTTTTGTGTGCTTGCATGCTTTCATTCCTTTTCTGTGTTTTGAGGAGAAATTCAATGTGCTGTGACATGCAACAGAAAGCACTGCCTTCCCTTTCTGTGTTCATTCACTGCTTCTTGTCTCCATGAATCTTCTGATTGCTGTCTCTTTTATTACTACTTCAATCCTAAGATCTGTTCAATTACCTAATCTTTCCAACTATCTTTAATTTCTGTAGAATTTTGGAATTCTTTTATTGTTAAGTGGGTAGTTTTTTATTTTTTTATTTTTTATTTTTAGGTGGACACAATATCTTTATTTTATTTTTATGTGGTGCTGAGAATCGAGCCCAGTGCCTCACGCATGCTAGGCGAGCATGCTACCACTTGAGCCACAGCCCCAGCCCCTAAATGGGTAGTTTTTATGTTGCCCCTCCYTTTTGATTTCTCTCAACTATTTTCAGCTCTTTAGTAAAATTCAGAAACAGATGTTGTGTGTATGTGTCTCATGCAGGTAAACAGGAAGGCAAAGGTAAAGAAGAAAGCTACTGTTGTTTGCCTCATAGATGGCCATCTAGTAAAGTCTGACTTAAGATAGTAGTCTAGATTTAGTGCCCTGAGCTGGGTGTGGTGGCACATGCCTGTAATCCCAGTGGCTTTAGAGGCTGAGGCAGGGGGATTGCAAGTTGAAAGCCAGCCTCCACAATTAAGAGGCACTTAGCAATTCAGTGAGACCCTGTCTCTAAATAAAGTACAAAATAGGACTGGGGATATGGCTYAGTGGTCGAGTACCTTTGAGTTCAATCCCCAGTACCCCACCCCCCAAAAAAAGGATAGATTTAGTGCCCTGGAAAAGGGTTATCAGTTGACTTCAGGTAAGACCTCAGTGTGAAATGCCAAGGGGCAGAGTTGAAGTACCGTGGACCTAAATCTGGAGTGTAAGAATGGGTGTGTTAAATGTTCTTGTCATTTTAGTTTTTAGTATTATAATACATTAACACCAGCCAATTCAAATTTTGCTAAGTAAAATTTATTTAGGTAAATTTTATATTTCTAATGGCATTTATAGGTAAATGAAAAATGCTTTGATGGAAAATACATACCTATAATTACAAAAAAATAAAATTATAAGTTTTAAGATTTTTTTAAAATACTTGTGGAAAAGGTGCCAAGATTTTGATAAGTTTTAAGTGTTCTGTGAAAACCATAGAAATTATATTATAACTTTTTTTTTTTTGTACTTGGGATTGAACCCAGGGACGCTAAACCACTGAGCCACATCCCTTTTTTATATTTTGAGACAGAATCTCGCTGAGTTGCTTAGGGTCTCATTAAATTGCTGAGGCTGGGTTTGAACTCACAATCCTCTTGCCTTAGACTCCTGAGMTGCTGGGATTATAGGTGTGCACCACCATGCCCAGCCTTTATTATAACTTTTGATAGTATTGCTATCATGCAACTGCTCAGAGAATCTAGGTTACAGATTGAAAATACTAAAAGGAATAGATGCACTGTGGTAATCATTTCTAGGCTTTTCTTTCTTTTTTCTTATTGTCCTAGGGCTCGAATCCCGGCCCCTTGTACATTAGGCAAGTGCTCTACCACTGAGCTATATCCAAGCCCTCATTTTTAGAAATCAAATGTAATCACACTGAGGAGATACAGGTGACGTTTTTCTGAAGCAAAGATTTCTGAAGCTGGGCACTTCCTTACTCATCTAAGGATTCGTTCTTGTCAGTACCTTAAGCAAAAACTTACTCTAACAGAAATAAATATAGAAGTGAGATGCACCTGTTGGACACAATGGTTTACTTATAGGGTAAATATTCACACAGAAGAGGATGAGGAGAGCGACTTTTTCCACTAAACTGGATGTCTTCAAGGTCCAGGTAGATTGTTTTATGTCCTTTTTATGGTTGAGTAAGATTCCATTGTATTGGTATACTAGAATTTATTCACCATTCATCTGCTAAAGTTGAGTTGTTTCCAGTGTTTTGCTACTGTGAATGAAACTGCTGTGAACAGCTACACAGGTTTGAGTTTGAATATAGGGTTTCATCTTGGGGACAATAGGCCTACACCACCTCATCCAGCCTGCCCCCTAATTCTGCCCCCTGCTCTTTTTCTTCTTTTTAAACTTCAGAGTTTTGCTTTTTTAAAATACCTCTGTATTTGGAAGGAATTTTTATGTTGCATGGTAGTAAGTTATTTTTAAGATATTCATTTCTGCAGTGACAGTTTACAGAACAAAATTCTAAAAACAAAAAACTTTTCCTAGCTCCTTCGTTTTCCTCAATTATTAATAAATCTGGGTATAGTATAATTGATAAATATAATTTTAAGGCCTGAGCCTCCAGTTTTAAGAAATAAATTTTAACTAAAGAAGCAATGTAAAATGCCCACATATTGATCCTGTGTAACAGGCCTTAAAATTATTTAATATTCATTATTTGATTTTTGTGTGAATTATCCTTGTATCTCATGAAATGATATAAACCTATGTAGCATTCCTTCTTAGTTCTGAGAAACATATTTTGCATCTTTTGAAAATCATGGGGTGTAATTTGGCAACATAATGAAATATAACATGACAGCACTTTTTATTTTTAGCAAATGTTAGATTTTATTACAAACCTGTGTTCTTTTATGTCAATATTTAAAATGCCAGTGGAGCTATATTATAATTAACCCCCAATTTTCTCTTTAGGTTTGATCCAGATCGCTTTGATGATGAATCAGCAATGAAAACTTTCTCTTTGCTTGGATTTTCAGGCACACAGGAATGCCCAGAATTAAGGTGAATGATAGAAAAAATGAGAAAGAAAAAAATACCAGACTCTCCTTTTGTAATTTTAACAATTACTATTGATGAGAATAATGAATCTATATAAAAAAAGGTATAATTTGAAAGTTTGGTAACTGGTTGCCTTTCTTTCTGACTAGGTTTGCATATATGGTAACCACTGTGCTTCTCAGTGTGTTGGTGAAGAGACTGCACCTACTCTCTGTAGAGGGACAAGTTATTGAAACAAAGTATGAACTGGTCACATCATCAAGGGAAGAAGCTTGGATCACTGTCACAAAGAGACATTAAAATTGTAAACATTTAAAATCTTTGTTAAATCGACTGAGGAAAATGGCCATTTAGAAAATATGTGTTGGATCCTTTTATAAACCAAGTATTATAACATAAACACTTATTACTTCATTATGTAAATTTGGATTTTTATATATATTATTTTCTTAGGGCATGATACACATTTATCCTTATTGCACCAGTATATAGATAATTTTAATAAGCAGCTTTAATTTTCTACTTTTAGTTTTTATGATTTTCTAAGCCATGATTTTCATCTTCTTTTTCTTAGCTTGATCTCTAAAATTCTTGAACAGAGAAATTATTTTGAACAAGTTGGGGAATCATGTTTTTGAATATTCATACATACAAAAAAAATTCCGTCTCCACACACCAAGAAGTCCTGACTCCTTTTTATATTTCCAATAAATCACCTTAAAGGGAAATAATGGAACTTCCTATAGTTTTATTTCCTGGATTGTTTTCATTTTGGGACTGTTTATTAGTTTGTGTTTTAATCATTTTTATTAGGTTTGAATTGTTCATTGGTCGATCTACCTTGCATTTGATGTTTGTTTGCCTCTGCACACACAGGGTTTATTTAATGGTTTACACAAGGCTCATTGTTTTGAACAGTTCTCAATCATTTGGAAAATAATGTAGTTGCTTCTGAAAGTGTATGTTTTGTTTGTTTGTTTCCACCAGTACCAGGGGTGCTCTACCACTGAGCTACATCCCAAACACTTTTTTTTTTCCTTGAGACGGGGTCTTGCTAAATGATTGAAGCTGGCCTCAGATTTGTGATCCTCTAGCCTCAGTCCCCAAATAGCTGGGATTACCAGCATGCACCACTTTTGCTGGGCTTCAGTGTAGTGTGTGTATGTTTTTTAGTACCAGGAGTGCTTAACTACTGAGGTACAACCCCAAACCCCTTATTTTTTATTTTGATACGGGTTCTTAATAAATTGCTTAGGGCCTTGCTAAGTTTCTGAGACTGGCTTTGAACTTGTGATCCTCTTGCCTCAGCCTCCCCAGCTGCTGGGATTACAGGTGTGTGCCACCAMACTCATCTTTAATGTGTTTTGAAACATTTCTCCTGTGTGATAAACTAAGATTAAGTCTTCTTCTGTTTTGMTGCAAATCTTGGCAGCATATTATTCGACTAATTTTCATCCATGAAAGAAAAATTTGGAATTTATTATTGTATTATCTCATAKGCTAAATGTAATGAACTGGTCAGTAAGAAAGGAAAGGGCACTGACCATAGATCACAACCAAAAATGGGGAAAAAGAAAACAAAGATGGGGCTGAGGTTGTAGCTCAGTGGTAGTGGGCTCGCCTCTCATGTGGAAGGCACTAGGTTCAATCCTTAGCACCACATAAAAATAAAATAAAGGTATTATGTCCATTTAGAGCTTATATATATATTACATGAGAGGGATAGTAACCATATTATACATGAAGAGCTCTACAAGTTGGTAATAAAAATATACCATAGATAAATGGACAAAATATAAGAACAGTCATCTTTTGCAGGAGGAAATGGCTAATGAACTTTTAGAAAAATGTTCAGTCTTATTGCAGAGAAATAATAAGGCTTGGGGAGTATTTTAAGTGTCTTTCAGAATACACTTTAATACTGATTAAATTTTATATGTAGGGGCTGGGGATGTGGCTCAGGCGGTAGCGCACTCGCCTGGCACGCGTGCGACCCGGGTTCGATCCTCAGCACCACATACAAACAAAGATGTTGTGTCTGCCAAGAACTGAAAAATAAATATTAAAAAAAAAATTCTCTCTCTCTCCCTCTCCTCTTTCTTTAAAAAAAAAAAATTTATATGTAATACTTTATTGATAGCATTGTATTGGGGGAAGGGTTAGTTTTTGTCTGGGGAATCGATCCCAGGGCCTCATGCATGCTGGGCTGGTGCTGTTCCAATGAGCTTTACCCCCAGGCCCCAAAACATTGTTATTTTAGCCAGTTTTTTTTTTGGCTACACTATTCATGAAGAATTTCTTTTCCTTTTTTTTTTTTTAATGTTTATTTTTAGGCTACTGAAGGAAAAATGCCATGTACAGATAGAGGAAAGGAAGAAAAATGATAATTGTTTGCAAGTGGGTTATTTTTAACAGTGGTGAATTTCATTTGTTATTTTAGTGTCAAGATTATGGGGCTAAGGCTCAGGGACAGAGCATTTGCCTAGGATGCAGGAGGCCCTGAGTTTAACCCCCAACACCAGAAAAAAAAAAAAAAAGAAAAAGAAAAAAAATCCTAGCTATCAAGTTATTTTATGCTGTGTTTATGGCTAAATAGCAAGTGGATTAAATAGCTTCTCAGTGAGATGGGATGAAATAGGCATTTTATTTTTTTATTTTATTTATTTATTGGTACTGGGGATTGAACATAAGGTACTTAACCACTGAGTTACATCCCTAGCYGCCCTCCCCCTTTTTTTTAGTTGTAGTTGGACACAACACAATACCTTTATTTTATTTATTTATTTTTATGTGGTGCTGAGGATCGAACACAGCGCCTCGCACATGCTAGATGAGTGCTCTACTGCTGAGCCGCAACCTCAGCCCCTCTAACCCTTTTTTATGTTTTGACACAGGGTTTTGCTAAGTTGCTTAGGGCTTCACTAAATTGGTGAGGCTGGCTTTGAACTTGTGTTTCTCCTGCCTCAGCCTCCCAAGCTGCTGGGATTACAGGCGTGTACCACTGTGCCCACCAAAAGGGGCATTTTAGACCCACTTCTAAGGAGCTAACATACAATTTAATTAGATGCAACTTTTATTTCTGGGAAAAGATTATAGAATAATTTAAATTCTAAAACTTTAAGTGAAATCTACTCCTAGTTATTATTGTTTTTTAAAGGGCATTTTTAAATCTGTCCCCTCCTATCTATGTTTACTCTGGTTTTGTGTATACAGAACATCTTCCTTTGTTATCCTAGTTCAGTGAGTGTATAGAAAACTGGCAGTGGAAGGTTACAGTAGGCAATTGATATGTAAACCAGATGCCAGTGAGATCAGATGAGATGAGATGGGTGGAATTTTAAAGCAAGTGACATCTGATAAGCATTATTAAGGCAAAAACAGGGTGATGGAGCCAGAGTCAGAACTCTATAGTGTAATTACCAATATATGAAGCAGATGCAAATAACTGGTAATGATTGGAATCAAGGAGAAAAGAACAAAGAGGAATCAGCTATATGAGCATATTTTGTCCATAGTTACATTACTACTTTAAAACATTTAAAAAAATCATTTTCTAGATGATTAAAAAAACTATAGTGTCAGGCTGCAGGGTGGGGGTACTCAGTGGTAAAGCATGTGTTTTGCATGCACAGGCCTTAGATACAGTACCCGACACCAAAAAATGTTTGTTAACAACATGTTCAAAATAAATTATTCATGCACTGTTGCTCTTACTTGGCTTTTTATATTTACTCGTTGAAATCTTGGTAGCCTCAGTGTCACTAATGGTTTATAGTATGTGATTCTAGCTGGACTCTTCCTTTAACCAGAAGTAGCTTTTTAATTGATTATAAAGTTTTATAGCTTTATTTCTTCACTGATATTTATTTACATTTTTTAAGGTACTGGGTGTTTGTTTTATTTTATTTTCATTTGAGACAGATTCTTGCTTAGTTGCTCAGGCTGATATTGAATTTGCCAAAACTGGCCTCAAACTTGTGATCCTTCTTTTTCAGGCCTCTGAGTAACTGGAGTTACAGGCATGCACCTGACTTGATCTACATTCTTTTTGATAATTAAGAAGCTTATTGTTAAAAACATAAGCACAAAACATTTGTATGGACTGTAAATTTTTTTTTAAATTTTTTAATATTATTTTTTAGTTTTCAGCGGACACAACATCTTTGTTGGTATGTGGTGCTGAGGATCGAACCCGGACCGCACGCATGCCAGGGGAGCGCGCTACCGCTTGAGCCACATCCCCAGCCCTGGACTGTAAAATTTAAGGCAAAATTAATTCTGTGTGTATTTGGGAAAAACAAAGGTGCTGTTATCTGGCCCAGGAATGTGTAGTTCCATTATTTTCTAGAAATAGATTCTATTATAGCCTATATGCCAATATTTGTTTTCTTTAGCTTAAAATTGTTATTGTTTCAACAAGACCTATTTTTTGTTATGAAAATCATATAGGAAACTTGATAATCAAAAACAGAGTTCCAGGGGCTAGGGTTGTAGCTCAGTGGTAGAGTACTTACCTTACATGTGCAAGGTACTGGGTTTGAACCTCATCACTACATAGAAATAGATTTTAAACTAACAGATTATATATACTTCTTCTTTGAAGTCACCTTTTTCCCTCCAAATCCATAAAACATATTGTTATCCCACAAAATTTTCTTTTTTCTACATATGGTTATGTTGACAAATTGAAAAATCACTTCAAAAACAATAATACTATATGTAAAACCAAAGATGTCACTGATGGTATCAAGTAGTTTAGCAATGGTCCTTTAGTTGCTGTGGGAAGAAACCTGGCAGAGAAATGGGCACCATCTTCAAAGGCAGGCTTTTATCAACAAATTGTTACAAGTGACCTTAATTTTCTCCTTAACTGTGCTGTGCCTGTTTTGTAAGTTATCAAGACTAATGATTAATGTTGATAACAGAAGTCCAAGTAAATCAACACAGCCAAAAAAACACCCCAAATAGTACAGTATTGCTTTCAGCTGTTGAGTGACCAGCTCTAATAGGGAACAGATGAGACAAACTGGCACTAATAACTAAGATGAAAGTAGAGTGGGGTGGAACAAGCATTTGTTATGAACTGAGTGCTCTATATAACTATCTCTTTTAGTTCTTAGAGCATAATAGTAGGTTCAAAGACAGTGTCTCTTTGCCTGTAAATGAAGATGGGCAAATACTAGATAAGAAAAAGCAAGTGTCTGAACATCACATTATCTTAATATCTTCAGTGGGGTTTATATATTTGTGTATTTACGGGTTTTGTTTGTTTGTTTTTATTACCTGGGATTGAACCCAGGGGCCCTTAACCATTGAGCCACATCCCCAACCCCTTTTTTTTWAAATATTTATTTTTTAGTTGTAGTTAGACACAATACCTTTATATCACTTATTAATTTTTATGTGGT